TATTGTCTACTTACCATCCAACCATTAAAATATAATGCTATAAGGGATTTTATTCATATCATTGTATCCACAGTACCTAAAGAAGTTTCTGGTACATGGTAGACATTCAATAAACACTTGTTGAATGAGTAAATGAATGAATGAATTATACTATTTCAAATACTAGAACTTTTAATGGTATGCTTAAGGAGATACTTGTAGCAAATTTGGAGAACGGTGGTGATGTCTAATACTCATTTTTAGGTGTAGTTTATTCTGTGTGTGTCGTAGGGTAATGTGTCTCCATTGCCTCAAACCTTCAGTTGACTTTATACACAGCAACTTGTGGTAGTGATGCCTGGAAGGCAATAAAGGCATTCCACAGTGGGAGTGTCAGGAATGTAGACAGCATACCCACGGCAGAAACCAGTGAAAGCCAGGAAACTTGCAATAATGTGGATTGTCCAAGGGAATGAGGGTCTACCCTGACATTCTCAAAAAACCTGAAGACTAAACTCCCCAGAATGTGAAATGAGGCTTATGTCATTCTATGGAGAATTAGAAGAAAAGGGTGATCCCTTAGGGCAGAAGGAACCTCCAAGTAGGGGAGGAGGAATATCTGCATTGCCCTTTTTCTGAAGATGTACCAGCCAGAACTCTGGAAAAATGTTTCCCAGCAAAGGGGAAGCTTTGATAAAGGTCAAAAGTCATCACTGGGGTGATTCTTTCCTATCTTCTGGATGAACCTGTAGGGACAGAATACCAACTTAGCTATCTATATTGCCAAGGCAGATTGGTTTCCCAGTGAATCCCAAAGGTCCCTGGTACCGTCAATGACTATATTATTTCTAAATGGGATTTACTTCTGAACCCTCCCCCACAAATAATGGGGTTCTAATCTCCCTTTTCTAGAATCACCACATTCTGTCTTTGGATAATCCAAAACCTTGGGAAAGAAAAAAAAAATCAGAATGCAAAAATTTATCTCTGCAAACACAAGAACTTACCCAGACCCCTTAGAAACATGTAATTCATTCAACATGTGGCCTCCATACTTCCTTAGATAAGGACCAGGGAAAGTCTAGGGATTAACCTACTAAGGAGAGTTTATACAATGGCTTTGGGGGAGGCAGGCAGCTTCTCTCTCCAATTCTTCTCTTTCTATGAGCAACTGTTTCACGTAAGTCACACTCACAATGATGTTCCCACAATAGAGCTCTTCTTCCGGTTAAGCTGTGGCAAGTCAAAACCTACTTCAGAGAAGACAAAGACACCACTTTGGGGGACCGAGAAAAGAGGTGGGTTTCATGTGTTTTTGGTTACTTGAAAAGAAAAAAAAAAAAGAAAACCTCAAACTACTGAACTAGAAGCACCCTTTACGTATGTTTGTGTTTGCCTGCGGTGTTCTATCTTGGATTTAGCATTTCACAGAGGAAAAATGCCAATCCAATTTTCAATAAGCATATTAAAAAGTTTTGAATTTTTTACATTTCTTATGTTCCAACTGAGGTTGAAAAAAAATCAAAGTTCCTAAAGGGAATGTCAATATCTCTTCTCTGGAATCAGTAAAGCATAGCAAGCTACAATCCTACCTTCAGTAAGTCCCAGAGGCATCCTAGAACATCTCAGACTTAGGGAGATGAAAGTGCCAGTAATATCACTACCGGCCAATGGCATCGAGTCAGCTCAGGATGTCCAACCCCTTTCCCACTTCCTCTGTGCTGTGGTACCATTATCTAGAAGGGTCCATTAGCAAAAGAATTATGGTCTAGCAAACTTCCTATGACCCTTTGGAACTGGCATACTTGATGGTTGAAGCCAAAAGAGGAGAGACAGGATGAGGAGGATTTCACCCTGAGGGCTGGGATACAGAACAGCAGCCAGCCAAAGGAAGGGCAAATGTGCCTATCAGACTTTCTCCAGGAAGCACCTGCTCAGGAACCTGACCCTCCAGAGCAGATGAATAAATACAAAAGTTTTAGGGAGAGCAGATGACACACTCCAACGTGAAACTTTGGTTTTGTTCATTAACTTATTCAACAAGTATTTGAATATACTCTAAATGACAGTTTTACATCTCATGACCCAGCAGTTTTCCTTGTCTCTGCCCTAACTCCTGGTAATGTCAAGGACCAAATATATCCTTTCTGTTTTCCAACGCCATGAATTAGAATGCATTAATTTTTTTCAATCTTTGGCCTCAAAATACCACTGGATCATTTACTCAAAGCTGGATAACCGCTCACACACATTCAAGATGTGGCACTAATATAGATTCAGAGTACTCTTAAAAACATATGCACATATATAAGCCGCGAGACACCTGCCTTATAACTAAGGTCAACAAATATATATTGAGTTTCTAATGTGCGTCAAGCACTAGGTGAGTTTATGTGGATGGAGCGGTAAATAAGGTATTAAAAAAAAAAAAAAAAAAAACTTGCTTTTGGAAGTTTTATTCCAGTGGGGAAAAAACAAATATTTTTAAAGTGGTCAAAATGTATATAATCACAAGTTTTGGTAAGTACTAAGAAAGAAAATAATAACCGTAAAATAATGAGCAAAAGAGGGAACTCTATTTAGGACACCTGAGGAGATGACACTTGAACACCACATGAGAAACCTGCACCAGAGCAATCTGGTGCTAGAAATGGAGCCCATGTGCATGGAGACAGCCTGTCCAGATGTTTGTCTCTCCTGGGAAATGAGAAATGCAGTCAGAGCTGGGGGATTATGAAGGGTAAAAAAAAAAAAAAAAAAAAAGTTTTCATCTGGTTTGGTCTGGAAGACGCAGGTGGTTTGGTTTGGGTTGTCTATTAAGGAAAGGGAATCTGCCCAGAGATTGCATAGTTCATAAGTGGAAGAATGAAGATTTTAATCTAAGTTTTTAGTCCAAAGTCTATGTCCTTTCCACTATGCCACTGCTGTGCCCCCAGGCAAAAACAAGTAACCATCACATCTATAGAAAGTTGGGTGAGTGTAACACTGGTCATAATATTGGTAATGGAAACTCTGGGAGGTGGAGAGGAAAGAGAATGTATATAGAGGAGGAAGGCCTGGAAAGATTTGCTTCATAGTTCTTCCTACCTGAATACATTATTCTTAAAGATATGTGTATATATGCATATAAAGATATGTACATATTTGAACAAATGTACATATTGTTCAAAAAGATATATACATACTTGAACAAATGTACATACTGTTGGAAATGATTTCATATACAGGGATAATTTGAGGATTCAGAGGAGAGAAGAAAATGTTAAAAAGGGACAAGGAAGGGAAGAGGAAAGGTGAGTCTAGCAGACAAATGAAAATTGTCCTATTTCTCCACTGAGACTGGATGGAAGGAAGAGATCATGCAGATGCAAGTGGAATTGTGTTTTTGTGTAGAAGAGAGTTGCATAGTGGGAGGAAGGCATGTGGTTGGTTTGCAAGAGGAAAAAATATGATATTATTGACTCTATGAGTAAAGAAAAATGCTTTCGATGGAACTGAAGAAAAGCACTAGACAATGTTGAATGACCATTGTGTTCATCAATGTAAGGTAGAGATTCTCAACCAGAGGCAACTTTGTCCTCCTCCCTGCCATGGGGACGTTTGGCAATGTCTGGAGATATTTTTTGGTTGTCACAAGTTGGGGAAGGGAGGATGCTTCTGGCATCTAGTTGGTAGAGAGAAGGGGTGCTACTAAACATCCTACAGTGTGCAGGACAACCTCATAGCAAGCAATTTTTCAGCTCACAATGTCACAGATCCATGATTAAGAAACTATGAAGTAAAGTGATTTCATATTTACATATATATCATCTCTGCAAGACAATGTTAGGAAACAGTGATCCTCTTTGGGGGCAAAAATGGAGCCACTAGACAGGGTGGAAAGAGGACTTATTTTCATCATATATCTTTGTATATCTTTTAAAATGTATAGCATGTACATGTACTACCTATTCAAATCAATCAAAAAACAAAACTAAGTCAGTTACAGATCAATAATTGATTGATTTAAATTTGTGTTAGATAAAAATAAACTAAAACTAGGAAGCCTGTTTGGGTAATTTTTGTTCAGCAACATCCAACTTCTGAGATGACAGCTTAAAGAAAATAGGATTTTTGCAAGGGGAATACAGTGGAGGAAGAGAGTATTTTGGAGTTGAGAGTCTTTTCAAGGTACTGGTTGTCATGACAGATGATGAAATTTATGCTGGACATAGAAGTCAAGATGTGGAAGGAGCTGGTGTATGTATAAGAAAATAATAAAGTTTATCAATTAGAAGTCTCAATATTTTCAAAAATATTTTAGAAAAGAAAATATTGGACCAATTCCACTGGAATAATAGGAGATGATGTTGTGAAAACAAGACACCTAAAATCAAATTCCAAAGGAGTTACTATAATCTTTAATGATAACAAAGTCTAGGGAGAGCCCATGATAGCGAGTGGTTGAATAAAATAGGAAAAGGCCATTGTGAATGACAAGCATGAGAATACAAGAAATCAGGTGTTTAGATGGATCCCATGGATCAGTGGCCTCTGGAGAATGAAGTGGCTCTAATAGGATGGCTTAGTAGTGGTATAAACCATTTTTTGATATTCTATGTGTCTGATACTTTCAGCTCTTTTTTTGTTCAAGGAAGGTCAAGTGACCTAACCAGTGATTACAGAGGCAGTACATGGAAGAACAAAGATTCAAATCTAAGTTTTTTAGTCCAAAGTGTATGCCCTTTCCACTGTGCCATAGTTCTGCCTTCAGGAAAATATAATTTCTCATCAAATCTATGGAAAGTTGGGTAAGCTTAACACTGGTCACAATATTGGTAACGGAAACTCTGGGAGGTGAAGAGGAAAGAGAATATAGAGAGAGAAGGAAGCCTTGGCAAAGGCAGAAAGATTTGCTTCATAGTTCTTCTCACCCCAGTAAATTCTTCTTAAAGTTGTCTGACATCATAATGAATGAAGAAACCATGGAGGTAAGAAATAATAAGCAAAAAAATTCAAATATTAGTAAATTCTAAAAATTATTTGTATCCTAACATGTACTTTTTATTATATGTTTTCTTTTCCCAAAAAGCACAACATATATATAAATATTTATTATATTATAGGAAAACATCTTCAGTAACTGACAATCAATGATTTCTAAGGACTATTAGAGTTGATTGTCAGGAAGCATTCAAAATCTTCACCAAATGCAACCCATATTTTCCTAATATGTACTTCACAATATCTACATTCTCTCTTTAGACACACACAAACACACACACACACACACACACACACACCCCTACAATTGCACTGGAAATACACAGGCTGTGTTAGGAATGGAATGAGTCCCCAAAATATCTCTCTAGCTTCTATGTTAGCTTCACTGATGGCTCAGGAGATGCGTTTAGAAGTGAAGATGCTGCCAGTGGGGCATTGGCCTCTTTCAGCCTCTTTAGCTTATTATGCAAGCCTCTAGTCCTCCTTTTCCATCCCTTAAACCCTCAGGTCACAACCATGTATCTGAAAGACAGTCCCCCTTGAGGTAGCAAGGCCCACCCTGAGAGGTGAGTTAAAAGGTGTCCTTTTCAATGTGCCCAAATACTCTCAGGCACTAAGATGAGTGTAGAACACCTGGTGGCTGCTTTTTCATGCTTCTGCCTCTTCACATGGCAGCCCAGAGTTTTACGTTCTTCCATCATATTCCTCCATTTGTCTGGCTCATAAATGTTAGGTGAGTTGACGAGCTACAGACCTTTTGAACCCTGTGGTCTCAAGGTCCACTTGGTTCATGTCTTCTTACTTGACCCCAAATGCATGTAAGAAGACCCTCACTGAATACAACATTTTCAGTGCCTGTAACAAAGACTAATAATGGAAAGAATCCCAAAGTTCTTTCCTTAGAGCTTATATAGGCCAAAAAATGTCTGAGATTCCTCAAAATTGACCAGAGAGAGCTCAGATACATTGACATATAAATGATCAGCACTGGTAAGATTGAACACTGCCCCCAGGTAGCTGCTGTGGGCCCACATCTGCCCAGTAGTGCAGTAGCTCATCATCTTCCCCTCCATCATCACCAGATCCTGGGGATACTTAGAGTTCCTCATGTAGACCTTGTGGCTCAGGGGCAGGTTGGTGCAAGATTGACCCCGGAAGTATACTTTGGAATATACAAAGTACAGCCCAGTTTCATTGATCACAAGGCCACCCTTCTTATATTTCACTCCAGAAAGCAGGACAATTCCATAGGTGTCTTCCCATTCCAGAGGCATGGACCTTGAGTTGGGCTTGCCTGAAATAAATTCGAAAGGAGCTTTCAGCCAGGAATAATCATGTATCCAACAAAGTAAGTTTCTAAGGCAACACTGTGGGCCCTTCCTTGAACAAATGTTCCACTCAGAATGACAGCCTGTATAGAACTGGCTGAGGGGTCAGAACTTGATCCATCACAGAATTTCCTAAACATTGTTGTCCTATTTTGTCATCCACACAATTGGAACAATAGTATATAGCCCTAATCCATTGCAGTAAGAAATTATTGAGAAAATATTAGCTCTCTGGAACAAAGATTTTATTATCTTCAGAACTAGCACCCAAACTGCTAGGCTTTGAAGTCCTTTCCTGAAGGAAAAAGCCAAATCCAAGGAACTCTAAAATTCTAAAGCTAGGAAGGATCTTAGGGACCATCTGGTCCATCATCTCACCTGCAGTAAGAATTATTCAGCCCCGCAGTTTGGGGTACAGTTTCCTTTTCTTTGTATCCTCACAACGTCATGAACATAACCTAAATCTCTGCAGTACTGAAATTATCACAAATGCCTGTTTTTCCCTATTAGATGTCAAGCTTCCTGCAGGCAAGAGCCATCTGCTACTCATTTTCACATCCCCAAATTGGTGCACAACAGGTATTGAGTAAGTGTCTGCTGATGTGACCGGATCATTCTACAATTTCTGCCTAAATAATTCCAGGGACAATAGCCTACCACTTTCTGTGATATTTATTCCATTATTTATGATTTTTTTTTTTTTTTGGAGTTTATAATGGGAGTGCCCATACCATATCATTTCACTCCACTTTACAGGCACATATTGAAAGTCTACAAGTGCCAGGAGTGAGTCTCCCTTCTTGCTCCTGTTTATACTCTTGGACAAAGCAGAGTGAAGTTCTTCCAAAAAACCAAGAAAGCGCTGACTAAAACAAGTCCTCATTCCTCACCTTCTCAGCTCTCACCTCTTGGTCCCAATCACCTAAGGGACTTTGGAATGACTGAAAAGAATGAGCTCCTTATGGGCACGGGTCATGTCATAATCAGCTCCAGGTCTCCAATTTAGAAGGCTTTGCCCAGAGAATAGGGGATCGAAGTGTGTTTATAAGACTGACTCGACAAGGAAAATGTTAGTATGATTGAGTTCAAATACTGTCACCAGGAAGTAACAACTCTCTAGCACCTGGTAATGGAAACCAGGCAGCCATTTTGCCTTTTGCCAAAAGCTTTCCCAAACCCCACCCGTACCTTCCAGATACAGACCTGTTAAATGGGCCACTTTCCTCTGCTCCTTTTTCTCAGGGGGTGGACTGGGGTGACCTGTATCATAGAGAGAGGAAAAATAAATGTTAACATGAAATACTAACTATTATTTTGGTGGGAATTTAAATCCCATCATTAAAAAAAAAAAGATTTTAAAACCATAAATGGCAACAGTCTAACATATACTAATCATGTAAGTCTGAACTGCGGGATTCACCGTGGTCTATATTTCAGAAACAAAGAGGTAAAAAATAAACCAAATTAAGATTGACACATGCATAAATTATAATGTTACAATAAAATATAATTAATATAAACGTTTGTTCATAATGAGCTGTCATGTCAGTTATTGCATTTAGAACTCACCACAACCCTTTGAGGTATGTATTGTCCCACCCCTTATCAATTGCAAAATGAGCTTAGAAGTTGGGTGACTAATCCAACTAGTCAGCATCAGAGATGGGACCACACCCTGGTCTCCTGACTCCAATTCCAGGGCTCTGTCCACTCTGATTCTCTTGTCCCTAAGACTTACAGGAAAGAGACTGAAGAAGACCACTAATCTATCTGCGTGTCGCCAGATCTTCCCCCAGGGACATTTTACAATCTTCCCCAAATTAAGTATCTTAAGTCCTCAGACAATTACCTCATATCACTGAGGCCTCAAACACCTTTAATGGCTCCTCCCTGAAGATGCAGTTGTATACAAGTCTCCCCATCACACAATCCCAGCCCATCTGTCCAGCCTTATCTCCTTACTCCCACTGAGCACTGCCACACAACGGGAGTTCTGTGGCCTACACATACCCCCACTTCCCTTCCTCTGTGCCTTTGTTCATGCCATGTCTTTTGCCCATAATGTTCTTTCAAACAGATTTCTGTGTCAAATTCCTAAACATCCCCTAAGGACTATCTAGTATACCTCTTTTTTTGGGAAACCCTCTCAAACCTTTTTTGATCAAATATGATCTTCCCCTCTTTTGAAATCTAGGATCACTCTGTCTTCCCCTCTGTTGTCATTTCTGACTCCTCTTCTCTGGGGTAACTACATAAATTATCTTATTCCGCTCAAATAATGACAAGTTCCTTACGATATGTTGAATTCACCAGAGAAGCCCAGTTCCTAACACAGGGCATGTTACTAGCAAATGTCGGATAAATTACATGAAGAATAGACAATAGTTCTCAAAACAGACACTATTTCTCTGACTTCAACTACTTCAGACAAGATAGACAGCTGCCACTTAGCTAACGCATTCAGCTAACTGAGACTTCAATAAATATTCACACGAGATGCTTGAATATGTCAGGTTCGTGTTTAGCCTGTAAAACTCACATATGGTGTGAGAATGGCCCAATTCACAGAGAACATTACCTGAGCGATCATGACCTCTCTGGTCACCCAAGACAACCCACCATGAAGGAGGTGTTAGTGAACAGGAAAGGCAAAACTGAGTCTCTTCTGCATTCCTACACCGCAAACCACCGGAGCGACTCATCTGGCATTCAGCCATGCACCGGCAGGAAACAGAACCGAGAACCACATGTTGCATATCTTTTTATCCCTCACAGAGCCTAGTACAACATTATTTTTACAGAACATGCTCACTAAGAATATCTGCTGTACATATGCTGGAATAAATAAACTGCAGAGATACCTTAGACACTGGTGATGAGTGCTTCCGGCCCCAGGGTTTTTGCATGTGCCGTTCCCAGTGTTGAAAGGCTCTCCCCCAGCCCCACCCCACTCCACAGCACATGCACACAGCCTTTCACTCATCAGGCTTCTGATCCCCCAGGTGTCAGCATAAACACCTCCTTAAAAAGGATTCTCAGCTTATACTTAGTACAACTTTGGAATTGTATGGTCTGTTTGCTTGCTTTTGTTTAGCTTCTTCACCATGCTAAAAGCTCTGTAAGGACAGGTCCCCTGGGCTGGCTCATCCTCGATCAGCGTCCAACACCCAACATCTAGCCTCACACATGTGAATGAATAAAAGATTTAATTAGCTAACTGGAAAAAAATGGAAAATGTAAAAAGGAGCAAGTTAGAAAGTATAAATAATCTATAATAGTATCTCCCAGAGAAAATCACTGTTAGTATGTCAGTGTGTAGAACCTTCTAGTTCCTAAGAATATAAAAATGTGCATACATGGTTACATAGTCAGTATGAAATGAAACATATCCTTTTGTAATTTGTCTTTTTATCTAACAATACACACTGCACAATCCCCAAGGCATTAAATGTCCTTCTGATACATCATTTTTAGTTGCTGCTTATTATGTGCTTGTTTGAATACACCATAATGTATATAACTAATCTAGTATGAGGCATTCAAGTTTCTTCTGGATTGTTTATTATAAATAGGCTCATAAGGAAGTAATGAACATCCTTATATATAAATCTTCAGGCACATCTCTGATTATTTTCTTCAGAGAAATTCTTAGTGATAGGATTACAACATAAACTATTAGTTTCAAGCTTTTGATATGTATTTCTAAAGTGCTCTTCAGAAAAAGTGATAGCAATTTACATGTATACTGGCTGAAACTAATGTTTAAACAGCACTTTTCTCTCAAATCTTTGTCAGCCTGGGTTTTTGTTAACTTTACTAATTTGATGAAAATTGGTGTTCCCTATTTTTAATTTGCATCTCTTTTCTTATTAGTAAGGTTACTGATTTGATTTCCTTGTGATAATTTAACATTTCTGGTTCATCTGGGTTGATCTAGAGAAGATAATTGCTTACTGGCGTAGATGGACATGACTCGTCTGGTCATTTGATTTTTAATCACTAAATTGACTCCAGAGAGTGAGTAAAAGATGAATGCTTAGGTACCTATCAGACCAGGCACATTCCACAGATTTTCAAAATGATCTTATTTGAGACATCCTCCAGAGGCTTTCTTCTTCTAGCAAATATTTCCACTCTGCTTGTGTACATATGAACTTTCTAACATTTAAGGATTAGGACACAGACGCAGGGGCCAGAGCTTCCCAACAGTGGCTCCTATAAGAACTTAACAGTCTAGGACAGTAGACAGGCGACTGGAGTAGCCACATCCAGAGAAACTGAAACTTACTTCACTTCATAGATGGCCAGTGCTGCCTTCTTCTTTATTCTAAGTTTCTAAGGATGAGATCTATCTATAGTCTTTGCAGAGGTATCCTGCTTTTCCTCTATTTCTCATTCCATGCTCACTACAGAGAGACAGGAGTTTCCCTACTTCATGAGGCACCAGTTCAGTACTAGAAAGCCCTGTAGGTGACAAGGCATCAAGAGCCTGTGTTCCTTCTAGCCCCAGTTCCATACTAGGGGTCTTGCGCATATTCACCTAATCTGTCTGGTATTTTGTTTCTCTTCCAAAAAAATGAAATGGCTGGACTAGATATTCTAAGCTTCCTTCCAACTCTAAAACTTCAGTGAATCTCATTGTAAATCTAAATCTAAGATTTCAATGAATCTTAGACTAGTGAAGCACATTGTAAAATCCATCTGTACAGAGCTTGCAAAACTATGCCCTGAAATTTCATGAGATCAGTGTTCAACATATCGTCTTCTTGCCCTAGCTCCCCATACAAAGGATTTTCCTTTGTGATCAAGGGTACCTCATGACTGCCTCTGAAGCTGAACATCCTTTGAATGATGGCTGAAGTCTTCCCTTCAGCTTTTCAGTGACTTCAAGAAAAACCATTTTAATGTACGGAATTGATTATCCACATTTTAAAAGCTTACATCCTATAAAACATTTTGTAAATAAAGTTTCACTGTAATCTCTTTAGAGGCTTTAAAAGAGGAGAGGACCTTTCTCAGAAACATCTGTCTCTGCCTTCACTTCGCCTTCTCTTCCCAGGAGTTATAGCCACTGGCATGTGAGCCAGACCAGGGTGTCTGTGGAAGGGGACAGGCATGGAACCACTGCTCAGGCGGCAAAAGTCCACGGTTATATATGTGTGTCTCTTTCCAAAGTCAAGCGGAAGTGATTTTGAATTGTGTGCCGTGCTCAGCTATATTGATTGTGAGCAATTCAATTCACTTCACATTTTTAAAGCAACTCAAGGAATCATATTGACCAGAGATTCCGAATTAGCCAGAATTCCTCTGATAGTATACATAAGCCAAAGTGTATGACAGAATATAAGGCATTCCATTAACATATTTCAGTGCTGAGGATCATCTTTAGGAACTCAGTGTACATGTGAAAAAGGACTCACCTATTTGTTTCTCCAAAGATGATACTGTATGCCTCTGGCTGGTAGACTAGTAAAAGAGAAAGAGAAAAGACGCATAATAAAAATAAAATTCTTTAAGCAAAAGAGACAGAATCATCAAATAAACCAAGCCCTGGAAAGAGAATCCAAATACCTCAGAACTTTTGCTAACTCAAGCTTTGGCCAAGCAATTTTGCTTCACTGTCCCTCAGTTTTGTGATTTGAAATCGTACCAATATTTTAAGTATTTTCAGGATTTAGTTTGGCCATCTCAACAAATTTACTTCCAAGCAAAACTTAAAAGTTTTGTTTGTTTTTTACTCCCTAAATCACTAGGTATGAGGCAGTAAGTGGTTCAACAGACTGAGTTGACAACTGAGGAAAGAAAAACTGTTGGGCTCTGATTCTTTACAAAATAAAAAATATTCCCTTCACTCCTATGAGCCTCCATTTCTCTGCCTATAAAATAGAATAACTAGAACAACCCATTTCTAAGAAAAAAAAAAAAAAGGATTGAAAAGCACTTTGCAAGCCAGGCAGTGGGCCCTCCACCCCCTTATGCCTGGTGCCTCCAGGGCACGGCAGTCTGCCAGCAGGCTTACCTCTCGGAGTTCTGCCAGCTCTTTCTGTAGGTGGAAGAGCTGAAACATCCCCAGTCCCAATCCTACCAAGGCAACCAGAACCATGAAAAACATCACAAGGAGACACAGGCCTGTGCTGTGGTTTCCCCTCTTCTTCAAGGGTGGCAGCGGTAGTGGAGGCAGTGGTGGCGGCGGTGGAGGTGGTAGTGGCGGTGGCGGCGGCGGCGGCGGTGGTGGTGGCCTCCTTTGACCAGGCCTTCTGGGCACAGAGGTTGGACAGGGAAGAACTGTGCCTGGAGGGGCCCAGGGAGAGCTGGCACTGCTGTCCACCCAGTAGATCTGGGGATATGGGTAATTGAAGGGCTGCTGCATGGCAGCCGGTGAGTCAGGCCAGCCCCAGCAAACGGTTTTACTTCTTCTCAATCCTGTAGAGGCTGAGGTGTCAAGGACAGGACTCTTGTTGCTGACTACTCAAGAGGAGGTAAGCTGGATCTCTCTTATAGAGTTTCCATAGCTAAGGGAAACACCTCTGTCTTTCCCTTTCTCTATGTCTCTCTCTGATTCTGCTTCTCAAAGAAACACCCACTCACTTTGCAGCTGAAGCTGAGAAGCCTCAAGAAGCTCAGAGCAAACCCCTGGAAGTTTCCGCCCACAATCTTGTGACGAAAGCCTTGGAAGCCTCAGTTGCTATCGCTGTACTACCCAAACAGGTTGGTAGGCTATGCTCCCCTTCCTGGGATCCTGTAGAGCAGGTCAGCATTGGGGTAGAGCCCTGTTGGCGTGAACTGCTCCCAGCTACAGGAGAATGGCCAGTGGGGCTATAATTTTATGAATTATAATTATATCCTTTTTTATACATTATAATTGTATAATGTTAAGAATTCTACCATGTATACAACCAAAAATTTAAAAATACCAAAATAACTCTAACAAAAATTGTTCAGAACCATATTTTTTAAACTATAAAAATTTTACTGAAATTGACTCTGAGGGGAGAGACCATGGAGTCATGGCCAGAGAAGTCACTCCCACATTTTAGTTTTTGCAGGAGGAAAACACCTGTTGCCATCATCTCTTCCCCACACACAACTACCATTTACCCTGACCTGCCAATCACCATAATTTACAGGTGAAAAACCTGCTACACCCTCTTTAGAAATTAGATCAGAGGCTGCAAACAGTGGAACCCACAGAACTGCTTTGTATTTCACAATGTTTTCATTTTCATTGTTTGCCCAGCTTATTTATTTACGTATTTATTTAAATAGAGACAGAGTCTCACTCTGTCACCCAGGCTGGAGTGGAGTGGTGCTATCGTAGTTAACTGCAGCCTCAAACTCCTGGGCTCAAGCAATCCTCTTGCCTCGGCCTCCCAAGTAGCTGGGATTATAGGCATAAGTCACTACACCTGACTAATTTATTTATTTATTTATTTATTTATTTATTTATTTATTTATTTTTGTAGAGATGGGGACTCGCTATGTTGCCCAGGCTTGTCTCAAACTCCTAGCTTCAAGACATCCTCCCGCCTCAGTTTCCCAAAGTGCTGGAATTACAGTCATGAGCCACTGCACTCAGCCCAATTGACCACCTTTAATATCAATATTGAAAATATTTTAATATATATACATTTTAAATACACATTAAAATACATATTTCTGTTCTGTTTTGCAATATCAGAAACCCTCGAGGGCCATCTCTACAAACCCAATCAGTGAGAAGTAGGTAGCAGCTGCTCCTGAGAATGAGCAACAGGTGTTCTGGGTCACCCAGCCTCCGCCACCGGCCTGTGTCTCACACATCACCTCACCATCTGAAAGGCCTGCCTGGTCCTTGCCGATATTTCTGTGTCCTGTCCCTGTTATGGTTGCCAGATTAAATACATGGTGCCCAGTTAAATTTGAATTTCAGATAAATAATACATAATTTTTAGGACAAGTATGTCTTAAACACGTCCAAACATGGAATACACTAAACAATTATTCATCGTATAACTGACATTCAAATTTAACTCTGTGTCCTATTTCTTTGTTTTTTTGTTGTTGTTTAAAGTTGGCCTCTCTACTTGGGCTCACCTCACCCTTTCCTTTGGCCTCACATACCATTTTTATGCCAATAATTTCCAAGTAGTTAGCTTCAGTCTTAATCATTCCCCAATAGAAGCCAAATAAATCCCTCATAAATCCAAATTTTTCATTTTTTTCATGTTTATTACCTTTCAAATTTCATTAGTTTTTATATCATGCTTTGGGATTTCCGTGACTATCATTCAGGCCCACTCACCTGTACCAAACCAACACCAAGGATACTATTTCCCTGATATATTCTGCCCATCCCACCCCATCCCCGTACAATCCGTTTCTCCTGAGGCCACTCTTTCTGGCGGCAACTTCATCTCCTTTCTTTTCCTCTCCCCCAATGTTTAACTGATCACCCAGGACTGTTGCTTTTACCTGAGACCTGTTCCTTACCCTCCCCTCGGTTTACTGCTCCCCTCCCCCATCCTTACCACTCCCATTTTTCTTACTGCTATTGCCTGGGCTCAGACTTTTTATCTCTCACCTGAAATACTGCAATAATGACCTAACAGGTGCCCTGCCACTGACCTTTCCCAAGCCCAAATCACTCAGTAAAATGCTACAAGAAAGATGTTTTTTTTAAAACAAACCTAATGATCTCACTTCCCTTCCTTCTGTTGGAAGGTTTGATTCCAAGAATAATGCAAGCTCCTTACCATTACCCAAGGCTCTTTAGCATCAGCTCCCACTGCCTCCTTATCAGGCACTCCTGCTCACATCCCACTCTCCACTCTTAAACAGTGCAAGGGATGAGACTTAACTCACATGTGGCTTTATTCATCATTATGAATTCAACTAACTTTAAACTTCGTAATAATCAGAAATTGTAATTTTAAGAATTCTATCATATATACAACAAAAATACTATTTGAAAATCCCAAAATAACTGTAACAAAAATTGTACAGAGCCATATTTTGTTTTTTATTTTTTTGAGACTGAGTCTCACTCTGTCGCCAGGCTGGCGTGCAGTGGCGTGATCTTGGCTCACTACAACATCCGCCTCCCAGGTTCAAGTGATTCTCCTGCCTCAGTCTCCCGAGTAGCTGGGACTACAAGCACATGCCACCACGCCCAGCTAATTTTTGTATTTTTAGTAGAGATGGGGTTTCACCATGTTGGCCAGGATGGTCTCGATCTCTTGACCTCATGATCTGCCCGCCTCAGCCTCCCAAAGTGCTGGGATTATAGGCATGAGCCACCGCACCTGGCCTATATTTTTTAAATTATAAAAATTCTACTGAAAATGGCAAAGATTCAAATAAGTGGGAAAATACACCATACCCTGGATGGGGAGGTGCTGTTGCGTGATGGTTGGGGGTGACTGGTTCTGGAGTTAAACTATGTGGCTTCCAATCCCAGCTCTTCTGTTCATTAGGACAGGTCAGCTTCCCTCCTCGATGCCACAGTTTTCTCATCTGTAAAAGTAAGCACAATCCTAATAGTACCTGCTTCATGGGGGTCGGGAGGAGTAAATGAGTCAAAGCATTTGATACACTTAGAATAGTCCCTAGCACCAAGGTAGGCACTCAACAGCTGTTGTAAATTTAGTGACTCTTTCCCCAAATAATTCATCTGTAGACTTAACATAATTGACCTTCTTCCATTAAGGACAAACAAAGTGGAGAGAGGGAGAGAGGTTGCGGGGGAAAGTGCAAAGTCAATGTTTGACATCCAATGTCTCTCTGAGATCCTGCCGTGAACCGATGGGTCCCTCCATTTCAGACTAATACCTCCCGACTTTTCTATCTCAAACTCCCCACAGAACTTCTAGTACTGTCCAATAAGAATTATGCTGTATTTTTACATCTCCTTCTTCCCTGCTGCTTCTTTTGATTCATTCTGCAACGGAAGAAATTAGAAGCCCATACCTGTCCCCGACTCTCCTGCTATCCTCCAGGCATAGAGAGAATCTGAACTGAAATAGAGTCAAAGAGAGCATCTTTAAACACTCATATTGATCTTCAGTAATGCCACCAAACATCACAGGTCGGCAAAATCATGGAAAAGTAAAACAACCCTATGTACAATAACAGGGACCCATTATGTTTTGGGGTACTTCCAAAACCTTATTAGTAAGGAGAAATAATTGTTACAAGTAGATTTTAGTTCTGTGAATGCTAAAGAAAATAGTATTTGCCTTTGAGAGATGAACTTAATTATAAATCGAAGGCTGGTGGCTCCCACAGGCTGGGAATTTAAATGGAAGAGCTTTTCTAAGTCTTGCTCTACCCTCCCCAATTGCACCTGCAGAATCTTTGATTCTGGAACCAGAGGTTCCTTGAGGATAGACAGAGGAGAAATATTCAGAGCTGACAATCTGTTTTAGGAGGAGGGGGAGGCTTACCAGCCATAGAGATTCAAAGGGACCTGGGTGACACTTGGGAGCAAATTTATGTGGAGGACCAAATAGGAGAAACCACCTTATACAAGTTGTTACAATTTTTTAAAGTATCTTCTCATTAGATGAAAATTCAAGTTATCTTTAATTGTGGTCGCTCTGGCATTGCAATTTCCTTCAGAAATTGTCTTAACCATCTAGAAAAAGGATTTAAGTATGCTGCTACACCTAGCATGTTAGTCACATGGAGGTTAAAAGGACAGGGTCATAAAGAGAACAAAGTTCCTATTTCTTTCTTCCATCCAGTTAGTTCTAGCAGGGAAGTGGACTCAGTGGATTGTAACTCGGAGCTCCGGAGGTGACTCAGCAGTCGCAGAGAGTGATGCATAAGGAAAGTAGCTGCTATGAACCTTCACAAACCTAGAGAATTCCAAGGGCATCTGCCAAGTTAGTAAGAAAACCAAATCTGATTTTCCCCAGAGGTGAACAAAGACCCCAGTACACTCCTAACTGAAACTTGTTTATTCACAGACATGCACCTACATATTTAATTTCACTAAGGGGTTTCTGGATGCTCATCTGAGTGGCTGAATGTCTTGACACCACTACCAATTATGTAAGAGCTATTTTATCCCATGTCCTCAGCTCTACTTGGTATTATCCACCTTTTAATTTTTGCCAAGCATTATGACTATAAAGTTACATATCATGGTCTATTGATCTTCCTTTTTCTGATCTCTTGTGAGGTTGGACATCTGATCATATGCTTGTTGGCATTCAAGTTTTCCTTTTTATGTATATTTCCTGTTCACGTGCCTTGCCCATTTTTAAACTGTGTTTCTTACCTTTTGTTGTGCTGATTTGCAGGATCTCCTTGTACTTAATATTCTAGATATTAATCCATAGTTGCACAGGTTTTGTATTTAGACTTTAATCTATCTGGAGTCCACCTTGGTGAGATGAGACAGGAGCCTATTTTTCTCCATGTATGGACTAACCCATCTTTTCTTCCCCTGAATTGGAATATTTATCACATATCAAGTTTCCACAAATAGTTGAGTCTTTTTCTGAACTCTTATTTCTGTTTCATTGATCTGTTTATCGATTCTGATACCAGGGTCACATTGTTTCTGTAATTGTAGCTTTTTGGAATGTCTTGAGAGATTATATGGCAAAATCCCCTCCTTTTTGTTTTTCTCTTTTCAAAATCAACTTAACTTTGGACATACTTAATTTCATTTTTATATGTATATGTATATATATGACATATAGATGAAAAATATATGTGTGTGTGTATATATATATGAAAAAACTATCATGTTCCTAAAACATCCTACTGACCATTAGCTGTAATTGCAAGAATTTGGAGGAATTGTTATTTTTATCCTATCCACAACAGTTTTTCATATTTTTATGACCTTTGAAATTTTTCTCCAGAGTAGTCTCATACACCGTTTCTTAGAAGAATTCCTTGATGCTTTGTAATTTTGTTGTGGTTACAACTGGTGTCTTATTTTCTGTGGTATTTTCAGATGCTGTGGTAGGTAGTCTCTAAAATGATGCCAATAATCGCCCACTTCCTGGTATTTATGCACTTCTATTATACCCTCTCCTTGACAGTGGCCTAGACTTACTGACTCAATTCTAGCTAATAGAATACAGCAGAAATGATGGGATTTCACCTCTAAGATTAAACAAAAAGAACTATAGTTTCCATCTCTTCCTCCCCTCCCCCATTCTAGGGGAAGCAAGCTTCCATATTGTGAGCAGACCCATGGAGAGGCCCATGTGGCAAAGAAATAATTTTTCTGGCCAACATCCAGCAAGGACCTGAAGCCTCCAACAGCAACGTGAGTGAGTCACATGAGTGGATTCTGCTCCAGTTGAGCCTTGAGATGATTGCAGCCCAACCTATCTCATGGGTTAGCCCAAGTCACCCAGCAAAACCAAGCTTGGATTCCTGACCCACAGAAATTGTGAGATAATAAATATTTTTTATTTCAAATCATTATGCTTTGGGGAAATTTTTTATGCAGCAATAGAAAACTAATAACAGATGGTCATTATTGGTTTAGATGGGTGCTCTTTATTTTATAATTAATAATGTTGATTCTTGCAAACTTGTGGCTCTCTCTTTTTACTTTTGATAGTGTGTCTGTTGATTCTGTTTTTTATAGAGATATATATTATCTCTATAAAATGACAATGTTTTATCTTTTTTCAATCCTTATACCTCATTCTTTTTCTTTTCATATTGTCCCAGACCTCAAGAACTATTTAGAACAGTACCCGTGATTTTGGACCTGTTTATCTTCATCCTAATCTTGAAGAGTCTGCATCTGAAGTTTCTCATAATAAATATGAGTATATTTTCCAAAGGTATTTGGTTTTTTTGTATGTTGCCTCTGTCACTAAGAGAATTTCCCTATTGCATCGATAGGATCTCATCTGCAAACTGATGAAACACTCAAATTAGAATAACTTAAGAAGGACTTAATAAAAGAGATTGTTTACAAACACAAAGGTGGGAAACCAAAAGGGATCATATGATGCTCTGGAGCTTGAAGGATCAGGGTTGTGATGACCACTAGGCGAGGAGAGAAGGAAGTTCTATTCTAAGGAATAGAAAATTGTATGGAGAAGGCTGCCGAAACAGCAATCGTGACTTCCAGTTAAGAATTTCCAGCCAGTCTAAGGTGACCACACAAGGAGGAGCCGCAATCAGTACCCTGTTCCACCATCTCCTTCCCTTCTGGTGGTACTCCACATTGAGCAAACTCTACTGAAGGCCAGAGAGCAAGGAAGCCCATTGACATGGTCCATACAGGTTAAGTTCTCAGGAGACAGAGCAAAATGTAGTCTGTATAATGTTGACCATTTGAAATTTATTGAGACTTTTCTTGCAGCTAATACTCTATTTTTGTGAGAGTGCCTCTTGTTTGAAAAAAAATCTATTTTCAATTTGCTATAAATCCATGTATTTGGTACAATTTACATATATGTATTTGTTGGGGTTTTTTAATTATGTCATTCAAGTGTGCTGTATCTTTGCTTGATGTTTCAGTCTCTAAAATGAATATGTTAAAATTTCCAAGTGCAATTAATAATGTATTTATTTATTTCTATATTTGTCATTTGATCTTTTGTTTTGAGCTATCTTGTTAGATACATATATATACATAATTATTTTACTTTCATTCCTATGAGTGTATTTTTTTCATTTTGTAGCCTTAGAACATTTCTTTACCTTGGGTCTGTTCTGTCTAATACTAAAATTGCTACTGTGGTTATACTAGGGCTTATATATTAATACCATCTTATTCTGTGTTATTTATCAGGTTCCTCCTGCCCTCTTCCTTCCTTCTGCTAAATAGACCAAATTGTTTTTCTACTGGTAGGAAATTTGGATATTCTTATTTTTATTCTTCTGGTGCTAACTTTGAATTTTTCAAAAACATGGGCTCTTGTCTATTTTTCTACCAATCCCTTAAATTTATAAATATCTATATAGTTCTCTGCACAACATTAGCACCTTAGTATACCACTCCATCCCCAGTCACTACCTCCATCATGTTGGTGAAGTGCCATGTTAATAGCACCTAAAATTTAAATTCTGGACTATGTTGTATTTTATGTTTCCTTTGCCTTCATACTTAAATGATGGTTTACTTGAATATACATTTCCAAATATGACATACTTTTTTCCCCAAAAATTGGCAAATATAACTTTCTGTCTTCTTGTATCCAGGGCTGTTATTGAGAAGTCTGTGGTCAATCTAACTCTCATTCATTTTCAGGTGATTTGCCATTTTTCTCCAGAAGCTTTCAGAATATTCTCTTTCTATAATTAATTACACTAATGAAATTATTAGTGTAATAATGTAATTATTGGTGTAATTGGTTCTAAGAATGATTATACAATTACGATTATGTAACTATGGCAATGTGAGAAAGAGAAATGTGCAGAACCATAGCTTTGGCACCAAAGGTATCTGACACTCTTCCACTCTGAGCTGTTGTATGCGTCTACCCACAAACACGCCCAGACCCAAGCACCACCCTTCTCCCCTCAAGAGTTTCTCAGGTCTATGTCAGTTTCTCAGGCCCATCAAGATATTTCTTGTCTCTGGGGATTGAGTCTGAGTCAGAGAATGGAGTCAGAAACCCATGTTAGTATGTCACCTTGTCAGCCCTGCTACATTCCTTATCTCTAACATTATTGTGGGGATTAAGTACATGACTAATTCATGTGAGGCACTTAGAAGAGTGTTCAGCATATAGTAAATGCTCTACAACTGTTAGCTGTAATTATTATTTATCACCATCATCGTTAATAATATGCACTATGGTCCCATAAAAATTAGTATGCATATTATTTTCATAGATGAGTAATTGGACTCAGAGAAGAAAAGTAACCCTGGTGACGAGTGTAACCAGGATTCACTCACACCCCCGTCTGTCATCTCCAAGCTCTTTCTGCAGTTAAGTATCCCTTATCTCAAACGCTTGGGACCAGAAGTGTTTTGGATTTTGAACTTAATTTTAAGATTTTGGAATATTTCCACATGCATAGTGAGATATCTTGGAGCTGGGACCCAATTTTTAACATAAAATTCGTCTGTTTTGCATGCACCTTGTACACATAGCCTGAAGATGATATTATATGATACTTTCAATAATTCTGCACATAAAACAAAACTTTGATTTTGTTTTTACTGTGATCCACGTGAGGTCACATGGGGAGTTTCCCACTTGTGGTATCAGGTTGGCTCTCAGAAAGTTTTGGATTTGGGGGCATTTTGGATTTGAGAGCATTTTGGATTGGACATTTTGGGATTAGGAATGCTCAACCTGTATTATCCTTTATGCATATGGCCTTTTCTACTCCCACCTCACAAGATCTGATAGGCTCAGGAAATTTTGCAAGATATTAAAGATTGTTTATTGTACTTTAATAAGTAGATGGCCAAAACTTGCTTTATGCTTCAATTTGATAAGATTAGTCTCTAAAAGAAAAAGAACTTTATTGTCCTTTTCTACTGTGAAAGGATGAGTTGAGGGATAAGCTATCACACATAACTCTTTTTTCTCCAAGTTACAGGAGGTTGAAGGGGAGAATCCAGAGGCTGTGGATGGCAGTATCAATGGAGTCAAAATTATCATTCAACTCTAACACCCCACAAAACGGTACTACTGTGATCTCAGGACTACGCTCTTTCTTTCCCTGTCCCATTTATATCAGTCGGGGTCTGCTCAGAAAAACAGAAGTCACTCTAAGTATATAGAGTAAGAAATGATTTAATATAGGAATTAAAAGTTGGGCAAGTAAAGATCAGGAAGGCCACTTTTAGGAAACTTTGAAGTGCAGTGCTTGTGCCACAACCAATCATTTCAGTTGCCAGGAGCACTGACTTGGTGATTCTTAGGAGGATACCCAAAAGCAGTGAGAAAATTCCACACTGCCTCTACTCTCCCAGTAGCTGCTGTGGAGAACAATGGCTTCCCCTTCTCTTCTACCCTCTAAATTTCATGCAACTTCCTGTTATTGGTGAAATCCAGTTGGGATCCCATTTGCCATGGAGGATAGAAATTGTAAGTGTAATTTCTAGACTTTATGCTCCTGGGGACAGGGAAAAGTATAGGATAACAGAGATGATACTGAGCACTAACAAATTATATGTGGTACTATTTGTTCACCATCATTGGTAAAAACTCACAAATACATGTTGATTGAATTAATGAATGCAGAGGGTCCCAGTTCTGGAACAGGATTCCTTGCTGGGAATCAAGATTCTTCTGCACCCTCATTCAGTGATGCCATGTGCTCCAGGCCCTGGTGGCACTGTGAAGCCGTTACTGGCTTGCTGCTGACTTTACTGTAGAAGAAGTATGACAGCACTGTGTGTTCCCCATCTTTCACTGAGGTGGGCCGTGTCACTGCATCAGATGCCACTGATGTAAAGGTAAACCTAATCATGTCAGTTCCCTGTTTCAAATAACACTTCAGTCGCTTTCTATTGACTTTAGAATAAAATCTGAACCTTTTACTATGACTTCCACTAGAACTTGCATTTTCTGGACTCTTTCTAACTCTCCAACTTATCTCACTTTACTCTATTCCTCTCTCACCACATTATGTCTGCACAACTTTTCAGTTCATCAAACGTGGAAAGTTTTTTCCACATAAGGGCCTTGGCTTGAGATGCTCCCACTGCCTGGAATCCTCTTTGCCCCACTTCTGCCCCATTCTTGTATGACCAGCTCCTAGAATCCTTCCATCTTAAACATCACTTCCTCAAAGAAGGCTTCGCTGGTCACTCCATCTAGGTGAGATAATCCCTGTTAGTATTCTCTTTCATAATATTCTGGTGTTTCTTTTTTCTTTTTTAATACTTATCGCAGTTTCTCATTAGACACACACACACATATATATACACACACATATTTACACATATTTTTATAATATCTTTCTTCCTCACTGTACTCCAACTCCACAAATACAGGGGGTATGTAGACCCAGACTAGCAGAGTGCCTGACAACTAATATGCACTCAATAAATAATTGTTGAAACAACTCTAACAGACTCCCCAAGTAATAGTTTTACAGTACCCTAAAATTACAATTCATTCACTTTTTCAACTTCTTATCAATTTTTGACCCTTAAATGCTGCAAAAGAAATGAGAAGATATTTAAGAGAAATTGCACAGGCTTACTCCCAACAGCATTCGTTCCCATTAATAATCCAACTGGATCCCATAGCAACTTTTGTTCTTCCCTGCCTCCAGATAACCTTCTTACCACCCACAACACATCCCAAAAAGCCAGGGAGTATCACTGTCCTGCCTCCTGGTGCAAAGGTTTAAATACCATTCAGTGCATTCACTATTGCTCTAGGGAAGCTCATCAGGCTCTCTTGCAGTTAGAACCCTCGTGACGAACCCTGATATGGTAAAGTTCAGGCAGTGACTCTGCAGATTGATCATCTTTTATTCTCAGTCGTCATATTCAAGCGCAATAAATTGTGCATGACTGAGAACAGTGTTAGAGGTCACACATGGGTTACTAAATCATATCATGACTAACAGTCTGAATTTCTCAAAAAGAAATGGCTAAGCATGAATTCCAAACTTAGATTAATGCCTGGTATTAGAGGTATTCAACAAATATTTGTTGATCAGATGAATACAGATTAATAAACTGACACTCAAATAAGTGACTTGCCTGAGATTATGCAGCCTGTTGGTGTTTCAGGCAAAATTCTAACTCAGAGGGTCCACTGTGAGAGTACTTATAAAAAACAGTGCTCCAAGTTGGGTGCAGTGGTTCATACCTGTAACCCCAGCACTTTGGGAGGCCGAGGTGGGTGGATCACTTGAGGTC